TGGTGAGTATCCTGATCTTTTTGGTCTGACTTTCTTGGATACCATGAACCTCTCGCTCCAGATTTGCATAGTCTTCCAGCAGATTTCTATTCTCTGCCAACAGATTTTCATTCTCTGCCAACAGATGATCGTTTTCTGTCTGTTTTCCCTCAAGCTGAGATTTAAGTGTGGCCATCTCAATGGTGAGCCTCCCACTCTCATTGTTTTCTTTTTCTTGAAGGTCATGAACTGTTATATTCAGTTTTCTGTTCTCTACCAGCACATTTATTATTTCTGCCAACAGATTTTCATTCTCTGTCTCTTTTTCCTCTAGCTGAGATTTAAGTGTGGCCATCTCAGTGGTGAGTATCCCGATCTTGTTGTTCTCATATTTTTGGAAATCATGAACTTTTGCATGCAGATTTCTATTCATTTCCAACACATTTTCATTCACTACTAACAGGTTTTTGTTTTCTGCCTGTTTTTCCTCAAACTGAGATTTAAGTGTGTTCATCTCAATGGTGAGTCTTCTGATCTCTTTGTTCTCACATTCTTGGAGATTATGAACTTTTGCATGCAGCTTTCCATTATATCCCAACAGATTATTGTTTTCTGTCTGTGTTTCCTCAAGCTGAGATTTAAGTGTCGCCAACTCAGCGGTGAGGCTCCTGCTTTGTTCGCTCTCATTTTCTTGAAGCTCATGAACTTTTGCATGCAGATTTTTATTCTCTGCCAACAAGTTTTTGTTTTCTGTCTGTTTTTCCTCAAGCTGAGATTTAAATGTGGCCATCTCAGTGGTGAGTATCCTGATCTTTTTGGTGTCACTTTCTTGGATACCATGAATGTCTTGCTCCAGATTTGCATAGTCTTCCAGCAGATTTCTATTCTCTGCCAACAGATTTTCATTTTCTGTCTGTTTTTCCCCAAGCTGAGATTTAAATATGGCCACCTCAGCGATGAGTCTGCTGATCACTTTGTTGTTACATTCTTGAAGATCATAAACTCCTGTTTGCAGGATTTTATTCTCTTCAAGCACATTTTCAAACTCTACAAACAGATTTTTATGCTGTGCCAACAGATTATCGTTTTCTGTCTGTGTTTCCTCAAGCTGAGATTTAAGTGTGGCCAACTCAGCGGTGAGGCCCCTGCTTTGTTCGCTCTCATTTTCTTGAAGCTCATGAACTTTTGCATGCAGATTTTTGTTCTCTGCCAACAGGTTTTTGTTCTCTGTCTGTTTTTCTTCAAGCTGAGATTTAAGCCTGTACATCTCAGCGGTGAGTCTCCTGATCTCATTGTTCTCACACCCTTGGCGATCATGAACCTCTAGCTCCAGATTTGCATAGTCTTCCAGGGGATTTTTATTCTCTGCCAACAGGTTTTTGTTTTCTGTCTGTTTTTCCTCAAGCTGAGATTTAAGTGTTGCCATCTCAGTGGTGAGTATCCTGATCTGTTCGCTCTCATTTTCTTGAAGCTCATGAACTTTTGCATGCAGGTTTTTGTTCTCTGCCAACAGGTTTTTGTTTTCTGTCTGTTTTTCCTCAAGCTGAGATTTAAATGTAGCCATCTCAGTGGTGAGTATCCTGATCTTTTTGGTCTGACTTTCTTGGATACCATGAACCTCTCGCTCCAGATTTGCATAGTCTTCCAGCAGATTTCTATTCTCTGCCAACAGATTTTCATTCTCTGCCAACAGATGATCGTTTTCTGTCTGTTTTACCTCAAGCTGGGATTTAAACGTGGCCATCTCAATGGTGAGCCTCCTGCTCTCTTCAGTCTCATTTTTTTGGAGATCATTAACTTTTGTTTGCAGATTTTCATTGTGTGCCAACAGATTTTTGTTCCCTCCCTGCATTTCCTCTGCGTGGGATTCAAACAGGGCCTGCTGTTCATGCTTCTTCACTGCCTCCAATTTGGGTTCTATCTCGTCCCTGGAGTTCTGGATTGTGTGGAGCTCTTTTTGACAATTAGGATCAAGTGTTGTATATTTGTCTCTGCTGGCCATTATTTCTTTAAAGTCCAACTCAACCGTCATTTCTTCTGATTGTAGTTCAGAAATGTGCCTTGATTCAAGCATTTCTGCATTTCTTTGTGATTGCTCCATTATCTCTGAAAAATACAAAGAAATGTTAAAATAAACTACAGCACCTTAAAATAACTGTCGTGTATAGAACTTGTTCGCGACCTCTTATCTGAAAAGTTTCTAGGGTCTGATTCTTGTTGATATCTAATGATGACGTAGAATTCCATGACGCAATGCTCCTTTGAAGTGAGGATTCGCCCCACCACGCCCCGCCCCG